CTTTGTACTAAATCACAATTAATCCTCACAAGCAGTACATCATCTAAATCCCATTTGTAACTCACATGAGCTGAAACATAAACAGGAGTGCTCTGAAAACTCAGGTAACACTGTTTACAAAAGACCCTTAGGATATAATATACCAATGCAGATGGAATTATAAATAAAGTAGTGGAAATAAAAGAAAGGATCAGATAAAATGATCTGGAGGTTATTGCTATAGTGAAAACCAAGCTAAATGATATGATCAAGGATGCAATATTTCAAAGGGAGGTTACCAGGTATTAAGACACCAGCTTTTGACACAGTGTTGTTATAGTATGTGTTTGCCGGGCAACCCTGGTCAGAGACCGGGCCGCGTGGACCTTGATCCCAGGAATCAACGCAAGGGAAACTTCCCTTCTTCCCCATGTCCTGTGAGGAGAAAGGTCCCTGGAAGCCATGGTCTTTGGGGTAAACATTCAGTTTTAAAAACTGAATCTAGTGAACGGAAGCTTGCTAAAACATAAGGCATAACTTCTGTTATGAACAAAATCATAATTATAAGAGAAAGGTACTTTAATCTGGGATGCTATATTCATTATGACCTTCTTGGAATCAGATTGTTAAGAATTATCAGTTGTTTCCAACCTTCCTATCCCCATGGTCGACCGTGCTGCAGCTGATTCCAACCTTCCTATTCCCATGGTCGACCGTACTGCAGCTGATTCCAACTTTCCTATCCCCATGGTCGACCGTGCTGCAGCTGATTCCAACCTTCCTATCCCCATGGTCGACCGTGCTGCAGCTGATTCCAACCTTCCTATCCCCATGGTCGACCGTGCTGCAGCTGATTCCAACCTTCCTATCCCCATGGTCGACCGTGCTGCGGTAGTTTCCAAGTGCACATTCATTTATTTTTTCCGAACTGAGTCATCAAAAATCGGTATTTCATCAAATATTATTTGATCTCAAATATATTTCGTAGTTTTATGTATAGTAGGAGCTCGGATAAGGTGGGTTAAGTGGTATAGTAATGTTGGTAATTTGTTTTATTTACGGTACTCAGGTGGAAAAATTCTTAGCCTATCCTCGTCCAGGCTGCGCCGACCCCAACCCGTCCACAGCCTATCCTCGTCCAGGCTGCGGCCGACCCCAACCCATCCACAGCCTATCCTCGTCCAGGCTGCGGCCGACCCCAACCCATCCACAGCCTATCCTCGTCCAGGCTGCGGCCGACCCCAACCCATCCACAGCCTATCCTCGTCCAGGCTGCGGCCGACCCCAACCCATCCACAGCCTATCCTCGTCCAGGCTGCGGCCGACCCCAACCCATCCACAGCCTATCCTCGTCCAGGCTGCGGCCGACCCCAACCCATCCACAGCCTATCCTCGTCCAGGCTGCGGCCGACCCCAACCCGTCCACAGCCTATCCTCGTCCAGGCTGCAGCCGACCCCAACCCATCCACAGCCTATCCTCGTCCAGGCTGCGGCCGACCCCAACCCATCCACAGCCTATCCTCGTCCAGGCTGCGGCCGACCCCAACCCATCCACAGCCTATCCTCGTCCAGGCTGCGGCCGACCCCAACCCATCCACAGCCTATCCTCGTCCAGGCTGCGGCCGACTCCAACCCGTCCACAGCCTATCCTCGTCCAGGCTGCGGCCGACCCCAACCCATCCACAGCCTATCCTCGTCCAGGCTGCGGCCGACCCCAACCCATCCACAGCCTATCCTCGTCCAGGCTGCGGCCGACCCCAACCCATCCACAGCCTATCCTCGTCCAGGCTGCGGCCGACCCCAACCCGTCCACAGCCTATCCTCGTCCAGGCTGCGGCTGACCCCAACCCGTCCACAGCCTATCCTCGTCCAGATTGCGGCCGACACAGAGGACACATTCACAAATATTAACATTCTCTCTAACTAATACCACATTTTAACGACCATTTGCCCATTGTTTATGAGGACTGACTGCCGTACAAAGCCATTTATCACTTGATCAGGAGCGAATCTGATTGGTTGAGCTCCGATTAAAAATGTTATTGAACTTCAAATGATAGAACAACGCTCTCATTCCAATTACTCAAAAATTCAGATAACTGCAATTCTGTTTAAATTCGTGAATTACAGTCTCTGTGTCCACGTGTTCTGTACCTGTTTTATTTATTCTTACTGAGTACTGGTGACGATTGGCTGTGTAACTACGGTGGTGGATGAGTATTATTCTGCCCCAGGGTGGTGGTGGATGAGTATTATTCTGCCCCAGGGTGGTGGTGGATGAGTATTATTCTGCCCCAGGGTGGTGGTGGATGAGTATTATTCTGCCCCAGGGTGGTGGTGGATGAGTATTATTCTGCCCCAGGGTGGTGGTGGATGAGTATTATTCTGCCCCAGGGTGGTGGTGGATGAGTATTATTATGCCCCAGGGTGGTGGTGGATGAGCATTATTCTGACCAAGGGTGGTGGTGGATGAGCATTATTCTGACCAAGGGTGGTGGTGGATCACCATTACTCTACCCCAGGGTGGTGGTGGATCACCATTACCCTACCCCAGGGTGGTGGTGGATGAGTATTATTCTGACCAATGGTGGTGGTGGATCACCATTACTCTACCCCAGGGTGGTGGTGGATCTCCATTACTCTACCCCAGGGTGGTGGTGGATCACCATTACTCTACCCCAGAGTGGTGGTGGATCACCATTACTCTACCCCAGGGTGGTGGTGGATCTCCATTACTCTACCCCAGGGTGGTGGTGGATCACCATTACCCTACCCCAGGGTGGTGGTGGATGAGTATTACCCTACCCCAGGGTGGTGGTGGATGAGTATTACCCTACCCCAGGGTGGTGGTGGATCACCATTACCCTACCCCAGGGTGGTGGTGGATGAGTATTACCCTACCCCAGGGTGGTGGTGGATGAGTATTACCCTACCCCAGGGTGGTGGTGGATGAGTATTACCCTACCCCAGGGTGGTGGTGGATCACCATTACCCTACCCCAGGGTGGTGGTGGATGAGTATTACCCTACCCCAGGGTGGTGGTGGATCACCATTACCCTACCCCAGGGTGGTGGTGGATCACCATTACCCTACCCCAGGGTGGTGGTGGATCACCATTACCCTACCCCAGGGTGGTGGTGGATCACCATTACTCTACCCCAGGGTGGTGGTGGATCACCATTACCCTACCCCAGGGTGGTTGTGGATCACCATTACCCTACCCCAGGGTGGTGGTGGATCTCCATTACTCTACCCCAGGGTGGTGGTGGATGAGTATTACCCTACCCCAGGGTGGTGGTGGATCACCATTACCCTACCCCAGGGTGGTGGTGGATGAGTATTACCCTACCCCAGGGTGGTGGTGGATCACCATTACCCTACCCCAGGGTGGTGGTGGATGAGTATTACCCTACCCCAGGGTGGTGGTGGATCACCATTACCCTACCCCAGGGTGGTGGTGGATGAGTATTACCCTACCCCAGGGTGGTGGTGGATCACCATTACCCTACCCCAGGGTAGTATTGGGAAGTCATGTATACACTCCACTATCCCTATGTGATACAAGAGCTGCTCTGTGATTGGCTCAATATGAGAGAGGTGTCAGGTTATTGGATAAGGCATCTGTGCCTGCTACATCGAGGAACAAGCCAGCCACTCTGCTGTCAGTGCCAGATGGTAGAGCTTCGTGCTGGTCGGTGTTCAATCCCCGACCGTCCACCAAGCGGTTGGACACCATTCCTTTCCTTTCCCAGCCCCCCGTCCCATCCCCTTATCCTGACCCCCTTCCCAGTGCTATATAGTCGAAATGGCTTGGCGCTTTACCCTAGATTGTGCCCTGATTGACTCTCTTAACGACTCTTAACACCATTTCAAGAGTATCTCTTCTTGAGGTTATCTTGAGATGATTTCGGGCCTTAGTGTCCCCGCGGCCCGGTCGCCGGCCCTCTGACATCTGTCGTTTGGGTTGGACGACGAGGGACCCCGTGACGCCAGATTACGATATCATAGAGATCAATATTTCGTGTTGTTATCTTGGGGCCAGATTCACGAAAGCACTTACGAACGTGTACATCTTTCCTCAATCTTTGACGGCTTTGGTTACATTTATTAAACAGTTTACAAGCATGAAAACTTGCCAGTCAACTGTTGTTATTGTTATAAACAGCCTCCTGGTGCTTCGGAGCTCATTAACTGTCTAATAATTGTAAACAAAGCCGCCAAAGATTGAGAAAAGATGTACACGTTCGTAAGTGATTTCGTGAATCTGGCCCCTGGTCTTTGGCTTGTCCCCATTTTCTTTGTTTACTTTTTTGGGGTGACTTACTTGGGTATTATTGCATGTACAATATGCGCTTGTTGGTCTTCTGTGAGGAGCCAGTCATTACAGATAAGTCTTCAGTTATCCGGAATGTAATGTACTATTCAGTTATCCGGAATGTTTTATATTATTCAGTTATCCACAATGGTTATAATATTCGGTTATCCAGAATACTTTATAGTGTTCAATTTCCCTCAATGTTAGACAGTAATCAATTATCCAGAATGTTAGATAGGATTTAATTATCCACAATTTATAGCATTTAATTATCCGGAATATATCGTGTTCAGTTATCCGGAATGTAAGATAGCATTATATTTTCCGGAATGTTAAATAATGTTTAATTTTCCGGAATGTTAATATTCAGATATCCGGAATATTAATGTTCAGATATCCGGAATGTTAAATAGTGTTTAATTTTCCGGAATGTTAATATTCAGATATCCGGAATATTAATGTTCAGATATCCGGAATGTTAAATAGTGTTTAATTTTCCGGAATGTTAATATTCAGATATCCGGAATATTAATGTTCAGATATCCGGAATGTTAAATAGTGTTTAATATTCCGGAATGTTAATATTCAGATATCCGGAATATTAATGTTCAGATATCCGGAATGTTACACAGCGTTTAATTTTCCGGGATGTTTCAATTTTCCGGAAGGTATCGTGTATCACTATATAGCTTTCCCTTTGGTTCAGGTCAGCCCCGGGAATGCAGCCGGGAGGAGTTCCGGTGTAGCAGCGGCCAGTGTGTCCCAGCAGAGTACGCCTGTGATGCTGGTCTGGCCAGGAGGCTGGGCTGTGCTGATCTCTCTCATCTCCTCAACTGTTGTGAGTTGTGGCTCCCTTACGCACACTCACGCACACACACACACACACACACACACACACACACACACACACACACACACACACACACACACACACACACACACACACACACACACACACACACACATTGAATTTTGAACTTTGTATTGTACTTTGAGTACCTGGTAGAGCTAGGACTTATCTCCCCCCAAAAAGAACTAGGAATCAAAAGGCTGGCATACCGAAAGGGGAATTATGAACAGATGAGAAGTTTCCTAAGTGAAATACCTTGGGACACAGACCTCAGAGACAAGTCTGCACAGGGTATGATGGACTATGTTACCCAAAAGTGTCAGGAGGCAGTAAACAGGTTCATCCCGGCCCAAAGGGAAAAATCCGAGAAGCAACAGAAGAATCCATGGTATAATAGGGCATGTATGGAAGCGAAGAAACTGAACAAAAAGGCGTGGAGGAACTTCCGGAATAACAGAACACCAGAAAGCAGAGAGAGATACCAGAGAACCAGGAATGAGTACGTCAGGGTGAGAAGAGAAGCAGAGAAAAATTTTGAAAATGATATAGCAAACAAAGCCAAGACCGAACCAAAGCTACTCCACAGTCACATCAGAAGGAAAACAACAGTGAAAGAACAGGTATTGAAACTTAGAACAGGCGAGGACAGGTATACAGAGAATGACAGAGAGGTGTGTGAGGAACTCAACAAGAGGTTCCAGGAGGTCTTCACAATAGAACAGGGTGAGGTCACTGTGCTAGGAGAAAGGGAGGTAAACCAGGCGGCCTTGGAGGAGTTCGAAATTACGAGAGAGGAGGTCAAGAGACACCTGCTGGATCTGGATGTTAGAAAGGCGGTTGGTCCAGATGGGATCTCACCATGGGTACTGAAAGAGTGTGCAGAGGCACTTTGCTTGCCACTCTCCATAGTGTATAGTAAATCACTAGAGACGGGAGACCTACCAGAAATATGGAAGACGGCGAATGTGGTCCCAATATACAAAAAGGGCGACAGACAAGAGGCACTGAACTACAGGCCAGTGTCCTTGACTTGTATACCATGCAAGGTGATGGAGAAGATCGTGAGAAAAAACCTGGTAACACATCTGGAGAGAAGGGACTTCGTGACAAATCGCCAACATGGATTCAGGGAGGGTAAATCTTGCCTTACAGGCTTGATAGAATTCTACGATCAGGTGACACAGATTAAGCAAGAAAGAGAGGGCTGGGCGGACTGCATTTTCTTGGATTGTCGGAAAGCCTTTGACACAGTACCGCATAAGAGGCTGGTACATAAGCTGGAGAGACAGGCAGGTGTAGCTGGTAAGGTGCTCCAGTGGATAAGGGAGTATCTAAGCAATAGGAAGCAGAGAGTTACGGTGAGGGGTGAGACCTCCGATTGGCGTGAAGTCACCAGTGGAGTCCCACAGGGCTCTGTACTCGGTCCTATCTTGTTTCTGATATATGTAAATGATCTCCCGGAGGGTATCAATTCATTTCTCTCAATGTTTGCGGACGATGCTAAAATTATGAGAAGGATTAAAACAGAAGAGGACTGTTTGAGGCTTCAAGAAGACCTAGACAAGCTGAAGGAATGGTCGAACAAATGGTTGTTAGAGTTTAACCCAACCAAATGTAATGTAATGAAGATAGGTGTAGGGAGCAGGAGGCCAGATACAAGGTATCATCTGGGAGAGGAAATTCTTCAGGAGTCAGAGAAGGAAAAAGACTTGGGGGTTGATATCACGCCAGACCTGTCTCCTGCAGCACATATCAAGCGGATAACATCAGCGGCATATGCCAGGCTGGCCAACATACGAACGGCATTCAGAAACTTGTGTAAAGAATCATTCAGAACTTTGTATACCACATATGTCAGGCCAATCCTGGAGTATGCAGCCCCAGCATGGAGTCCATATCTAGTCAAGGATAAGACTAAACTGGAAAAGGTTCAAAGGTTTGCCACCAGACTAGTACCCGAGCTGAGAGGTATGAGCTACGAGGAGAGACTACGGGAATTAAACCTCACTTCGCTGGAAGACAGAAGAGTTAGGGGGGACATGATCACCACATTCAAGATTCTGAAGGGGATTGATAGGGTAGATAAAGACAGTCTATTTAACACAAGGGGAACACGCACAAGGGGACACAGGTGGAAACTGAGTGCCCAAATGAGCCACAGAGATATTAGAAAGAACTTTTTTAGTGTCAGAGTGGTTGACAAATGGAATGCATTAGGGGGTGATGTGGTGGAGGCTGACTCCATACACAGTTTCAAGTGTAGATATGACAGAGCCCGATAGGCTCATGAATCTGTACACCTGTTGATTGACGGTTGAGAGGCGGGACCAAAGAGCCAGAGCTCAACCCCCGCAAACACAACTAGGTGAGTATAACTAGGTGAGTACACACACACACACACACACACACACACACACACACACACACACACACACACACACACACACACCCACGCCCACACACACACACACACACACACACACACACACACACACACACACACACACACACATTAGGGATTGGTGAAGATTAAGCCACCCAAAAGGTGGCACGGGCACGAATAGCCCGTAAGTGGTGGCCCTTTTGAGCCATTACCAGTATCAATAGATGATACTGGAGATCTGTGGAGGTGCGGCTGCACCCTGCGTGACGGGAGATGTCTCCTGTGCACATTAGGGGAATACACAGCTATTTTGTATCAAAACTTTAGCGAATTCCTTTTTCACCTCATCCACAGCCCCCTGTGGGGCTCAATATCCACATGTAACATTAATTCAACACTTACTCAACATTATTTAGCGCTGCTTCAATGCTGCTAAAGTTGATATCGCTACACATGGGTACTGCGTACGCTGGATTTTGAAACTGCAAATCTAAAGTTTTTTACTTATTTTTTTTTGCTCTAAACTGAATTTCATTCTTAGCTCTATTTCACGAACGTTCCGTGTTCAGAATATAGAACAGCAGTTGGAGAACCCACAAAGTTGGTCCATCTTCCATCACATATAGACGTCAAAATCCCCCAAACTGACAGATAATATGGTACTAATTGCCCTTCTACTCGAGCCGTCAGAACGTCACTAATCTGATGTATTAAATTACCCGAACCTAACCGAGGGATTCACGAATAGAAAACAGGACATTACGTCACTTTTGAAAACAGTTATTTTAGTCCAGTCATTTTTGGCCTGACTGTATACGTCAAAATACGGTGTACTATTCGAGTGGCTGGGCTGACTGTATATCCCAGCGGCTCGGCTTATAATTACTAAACAGTGTATGAGCTCCTAAACCCCACGGGATCACCATAGCCCGTGCTACTTGGAACTCTTTGTTCCAAGTGACGAATCTTAAACAACAACAACATCCTAAACCCAGCCACGTTGTTCTATAATAACAACATTAGGTTGTAAAGTTTCCAAACTCGTAAACTGTTTACTAACTGTAAACAAAGCCGCCATGATAGTTGAAAGATGTACGGGTTTCGTTACTGGGTGCGTAAATGCCTGATGAGTACGGGGGCCAGATTCACGAAGCATTTACGCAAACACTTACGAAAGTGTACATCTTTCGTGAATCTTTGACGGCTTTGGTTACATTTATTAAACAGTTTACAAGCATGAAAACATGCCAATCAACAGTTGATATTGTTATAAACAGCCTCCTGGTGCTTCGGAGCTCATTAACTGTTTAATAATTGTAAACAAAGCCGCCAAATATTGAGAAAAGATGTACACGTTCGTAAGTGCTTGCGTAACTGCTTCGTGAATCTGGCCCCTGGTTCACGAAGCAGTTACGCAAGCACTTACAATTTGTTTTTATTACAATTATTAATTTATGATATATGTGTGTATATATTACATGGTTTATAGTGATTTTATTACGTACTGCTTAAGGTGTCTATGTTGCTTGTTTCACCCTTAACTGTCTGTTACACCCTTAACTGTCTGTTACACCCTTAACTGTCTGTTACACCCTTAACTGTTTGTTTCACCCTTAACTGTCTGTTTCACCCTTAACTGTCTGTTACACCCTTAACTGTTTGTTTCACCCTTAACTGTCTGTTTCACCCTTAACTGTCTGTTACACCCTTAACTGTCTGTTACACCCTTAACTGTTTGTTTCACCCTTAACTGTCTGTTTCACCCTTAACTGTCTGTCTCACCCTTAACTGTCTGTTTTACCCTTAACTGTTTGTTTCACCCTTAACTGTCTGTCTCACCCTTAACTGTCTGTTACACCCTTAACTGTCTGTTTCACCCTTAACTGTCTGTTTCACCCTTAACTGTCTGTTTCACCCTTAACTGTCTGTTACACCCTTAACTGTTTGTTTCACCCTTAACTGTCTGTTTCACCCTTAACTGTCTGTCTCACCCTTAACTGTCTGTTTCACCCTTAACTGTCTGTTTCATCCTTAACTGTCTGTCTCACCCTTAACTGTCTGTCTCACCCTTAACTGTCTGTTTCACCCTTAACTGTCTGTCTCACCCTTAACTGTCTGTCTCACCCTTAACTGTCTGTTTCACCCTTAACTGTTTGTTTCACCCTTAACTGTCTGTCTCACCCTTAACTGTCTGTTTCACCCTTAACTGTCTGTTACACCCTTAACTGTTTCACTCTTAACTGTCTGTTTCACCCTTAACTGTCTGTCTCACCCTTAACTGTTTGTTTCACCCTTAACTGTCTGTTTCACCCTTAACTGTCTGTCTCACCCTTAACTGTCTGTTACACCCTTAACTGTCTGTTACACCCTTAACTGTTTGTTTCACCCTTAACTGTCTGTTTCACCCTTAAATGTCTGTCTCACCCTTAACTGTCTGTTTTACCCTTAACTGTTTGTTTCACCCTTAACTGTCTGTCTCACCCTTAACTGTCTGTCTCACCCTTAACTGTCTGTTACACCCTTAACTGTCTGTTTCACCCTTAACTGTCTGTTTCACCCTTAACTGTCTGTTTCACCCTTAAATGTCTGTCTCACCCTTAACTGTCTGTTACACCCTTAACTGTCTGTTACACCCTTAACTGTTTGTTTCACCCTTAACTGTCTGTTTCACCCTTAACTGTCTGTTACACCCTTAACTGTTTGTTTCACCCTTAACTGTCTGTTTCACCCTTAACTGTTTGTTTCACCCTTAAATGTCTGTCTCACCCTTAACTGTCTGTTTCACCCTTAACTGTTTGTTCACCCTTAACTGTCTGTTTCACCCTTAACTGTTTGTTCACCCTTAACTGTCTGTTTCACCCTTAATTATTTGTTTCACCCTTAACTGTCTGTTACACCCTTAACTGTTTCACTCTTAACTGTCTGTTTCACCCTTAACTGTCTGTCTCACCCTTAACTGTTTGTTCACCCTTAACTGTCTGTCTCACCCTTAACTGTCTGTTCACCCTTAACTGTCTGTTTCACCCTTAACTGTTTGTTCACCCTTAACTGTCTGTTCACCCTTAACTGTCTTTCTCACCCTTAACTGTCTGTCTCACCCTTAACTGTCTGTTTCACCCTTAACTGTTTGTCCCACCCTTAACTGTTTTATTCCTATCTATCAGACTCCTGCCTATCTGTCTACCTTCTTTTCTATCTATCACTCAGGACCGGCAATCAACTATTAAACTTATCTATCAGTACCAGTGATCTATTAGTCCACCTGTCTATCCACTGACCTACTTGTCAGGCATTTCCCTTAACTATCTATCAGTCCCATCTATCAGTTAATCCAGGTCCAATTGTCTATCCATTGACCAGCCTGTCAAAACCATCTATCAGTCCAATTATCTATCGCCAGCTGATCACATGTGCCGGGCGGGGCAGCTGCGATGTGGCTCTGGACCTTGTCTGTCCGTAGACAGAGCTTGTGACGGGTATATCGACTGTCCACTCACCTGGGATGACGAGGACAACTGCCGTGAGTACTGTCTATCATCCCCCCCGGCCTCCCTGTCCTCGGTCTAGCCTATCCTCTATCCTAAATCTATTTCTTTGGGACGATTTTTTTAGGTTTGTTTTTGTTTCGACGATTTGTGTAATTCTCACGTCTCTGGCATCCTTCCTCTGCTGCCAGGTGTACGATAATGTCGTTCTCTGTACCGTTAATTAGGAGGAAGGTGAACGAAAGCTACAGTTCATTGCGTCTGAACTGCTGTGAATACAAAACGAAGCAATAGAGTAAATCCGGGAAATGTTCGCTGGGAAAGAGCATACAAAAGCAGCTAAAAAATCCATTATTGAAATTCGTATTCAATGTTTTTTTTTCTTCCATGAGGCAGCGTAATGTAATTTTGAAGTGTTTGTATTTCTAAGATTTATTTTATACTACTTTAAGTCTGTAAGTATTATATTTTTGTTTTATATGAATTTATTTTCCCGGGATAAATTTCCCGCCAATTTTGCGGAATTTAGTCATATGAGCATCCAAGGCGGCCAAGATATTGTGCGGTACGACAGTGTGGACCGGCTGGCAGCGGATGTTCATACGTCCGTCGCCGCGGTTACGATAGGCCTGTCCTCTCACTTAATGATACATAGCACCTGTCCTCTCACTTAATAATACACCACACCTGTCCTCTCACTTAATAATACATCACACCTGTCCTCCCACTTAATGATACATCACACCTGTCCTCCCACTTAATGATACATCACACCTGTCCTCTCACTTAATAATACACCACACCTGTCCTCTCACTTAATGATACATCACACCTGTCCTCTCACTTAATAATACACCACACCTGTCCTCTCACTTAATAATACATCACACCTGTCCTCTCACTTAATGATACATCACACCTGTCCTCCCACTTAATGATACATCACACCTGTCCTCCCACTTAATGATACATCACACCTGTCCTCCCACTTAATAATACACCACACCTGTCCTCTCACTTAATGATACATAGCACCTGTCCTCTCACTTAATAATGCATAGCACCTGTCCTCTCACTTAATAATACACCACACCTGTCCTCCCACTTAATAATACACCACACCTGTCCTCTTAATAATACATCACACCTGTCCTCTCACTTAATAATACACCATACCTATCCTCTTAATAATACATCACACCTGTCCTCTCACTTAATAATACATCACACCTGTCCTCTCACTTAATAATACATCACACCTGTCCTCTTAATAATACATCACACCTGTCCTCTCACTTAATAATACATCACACCTGTCCTCTCACTTAATAATACATCACACCTGTCCTCTCACTTAATAATACATCACACCTGTCCTCTCACTTAATAATACATCACACCTGTCCTCTCACTTAATAATACATCACACCTGTCCTCTCACTTAATAATACACCACACCTGTCCTCTCACTTAATAATACATCACACCTGTCCTCTCACTTAATAATACATCACACCTGTCCTCTCACTTAATAATACATCACACCTGTCCTCTCACTTAATAATACATCACACCTGTCCTCTCACTTATTAATACATCACACCTGTCCTCTCACTTAATGATACACCACACCTGTCCTCTCACTTAATAATACACCACACCTGTCCTCTCACTTAATAATACACCACACCTGTCCTCACACTTAATAATACACCACACCTGTCCTCTCACTTAATAATACACCACACCTGTCCTCTCACTTAATAATACATCACACCTGTCCTCTCACTTAATAATACATCACACCTGTCCTCTCACTTAATAATACATCACACCTGTCCTCTCACTTAATAATACATCACACCTGTCCTCTTAATAATACACCACACCTGTCCTCTCACTTAACAATACATCACACCTGTCCTCTCACTTAATAATACATCACACCTGTCCTCTCACTTAATAATACACCACACCTGTCCTCTCACTTAATAATACACCACACCTGTCCTCTCACTTAATAATACACCACACCTGTCCTCTCACTTAATAATACATCACACCTGTCCTCTCACTTAATAATACATCACACCTGTCCTCTCACTTAATAATACATCACACCTGTCCTCTCACTTAATAATACATCACACCTGTCCTCTCACTTAATAATACACCACACCTGTCCTCTTAATAATACATCACACCTGTCCTCTCACTTAATAATACATCACACCTGTCCTCTTAATAATACATCACACCTGTCCTCTCACTTAATAATACATCACACCTGTCCTCTCACTTAATAATACACCACACCTGTCCTCTTAATGATACATCACACCTGTCCTCTCACTTAATGATACATCACACCTGTCCTCTCACTTAATGATACATCATACCTGTCCTCTCACTTAATAATACATCACACCTGTCCTCTCACTTAATAATAAATCACACCAGTCCTCTCACTTAATAATACACCACACCTGTCCTCTTAATAATACACCACACCTGTCCTCTCACTTAATAATACACCACACCTGTCCTCTTAATAATACATCACACCTGTCCTCTCACTTAATAATACATCACACCTGTCCTCTCACTTAATAATACACCACACCTGTCCTCTTAATGATACATCACACCTGTCCTCTCACTTAATGATACATCATACCTGTCCTCTCACTTAATAATACATCACACCTGTCCTCTCACTTAATAATAAATCACACCTGTCCTCTCACTTAATAATACACCACACCTGTCCTCTTAATAATACACCACACCTGTCCTCTCACTTAATAATACACCACACCTGTCCTCTTAATAATACATCACACCTGTCCTCTCACTTAATAATACATCACACCTGTCCTCTCACTTAATAATACACCACACCTGTCCTCTTAATGATACATCACACCTGTCCTCTCACTTAATAATACATCACACCTGTCCTCTCACTTAATAATACATCACACCTGTCCTCTCACTTAATGATACATCACACCTGTCCTCTCACTTAATAATACATCACACCTGTCCTCTCACTTAATGATACACCACACCTGTCCTCTCACTTAATAATACACCACACCTGTCCTCTCACTTAATAATGCACCACACCTGTCCTCTCACTTAATAATACACCACACCTGTCCTCTCACTTAATAATACATCACACCTGTCCTCTCACTTAATAATACATCACACCTGTCCTCTTAATAATACACCACACCTGTCCTCTCACTTAATAATACACCACACCTGTCCTCTTAATAATACATCACACCTGTCCTCTCACTTAATAATACATCACACCTGTCCTCTCACTTAATAATACACCACACCTGTCCTCTTAATGATACATCACACCTGTCCTCTCACTTAATAATACATCACACCTGTCCTCTCACTTAATAATACATCACACCTGTCCTCTCACTTAATGATACATCACACCTGTCCTCTCACTTAATAATACATCACACCTGTCCTCTCACTTAATGATACACCACACCTGTCCTCTCACTTAATGATACACCACACCTGTCCTCTCACTTAATAATACACCACACCTGTCCTCTCACTTAATAATGCACCACACCTGTCCTCTCACTTAATAATACACCACACCTGTCCTCTCACTTAATACACCACACCTGTCCTCTCACTTAATGATACATCACACCTGTCCTCTCACTTAATAATACACCACACCTGTCCTCTCACTTAACAATACATCACACCTGTCCTCGCACTTAATAATACATCACACCTGTCCTCTCACTTAATAATACACCACACCTGTCCTCTCACTTAATAATACAACACACCTGTCCTCTCACTTAATAATACATCACACCTATCCTCTCACTTAATGATACACCACACCTGTCCTCTCACTTAATAATACACCACACCTGTCCTCTCACTTAATAATGCACCACACTTGTCCTCTTAATAATACATCACACCTGTCCTCTCACTTAACAATACATCACACCTGTCCTCTCACTTAACAATACATCACACCTGTCCTCTCACTTAACAATACATCACACCTGTCCTCTCACTTAATACATCACACCTGTCCTCTCACTTAATAATACATCACACCTGACCTCTTAATAATACACCACACCTGTCCTCTCACTTAACAATACATCACACCTGTCCTCTCACTTAACAATACATCACACCTGTCCTCTCACTTAACAATACACCACACCTGTCCTCTTAATAATACACCACACCTGTCCTCTTAATAATACATCACACCTGTCCTCTCACTTAACAATACATCACACCTGTCCTCTCACTTAACAATACATCACACCTGTCCTCTCACTTAACAATACATCACACCTGTCCTCTCACTTAACAATACATCACACCTGTCCTCTCACTTAACAATACATCACACCTGTCCTCTTAATAATACACCACACCTGTCCTCGCACTTAACAATACATCACACCTGTCCTCTCACCTGTTACTGTTGTTGTTACAGCCTTCGCCTGCGCGGCGTCGACCCCGAGCTGTGAGTGTCGCGATATTACCATCAGCTGTGAGCGCCGAGGGCTCACTCTCCTCCCTCAGGATATTGAGCTCCAGATCTCTCGCTTGTGAGTACCGGGAGGGACAGACAGACAGACAGACAGACAGACAGACAGACAGACAGATTATTGTTTTTTTTCTGGTCTTGCAAAAACAACTATCATTTCTTAGGTCATTCTTATCCTCCTTGTTTGGAATTATTTCTGTTTGGAAAAAAATGACTTGTTTTCCTATGGCCTCCCCCCCCCCCCCAGGAGGGGGCGCCATGCCCCCCTCCTGGTATGGCGCTGTAAGGCTGGGTTAGGTCTAATATAATCGTGTCGTGTCGTTTTGAAACAACCTCTCCGCTGCTCTTCTTTCTCTCAGGTATTATTTTCTCTTCAGAAATCTAGTATTTTAGTGAAATTAAAAAGCTCCGCAATATTGACATTTCCTTCGATTTGTGAGTTACAGTCTTGAGGGTTTCATGGGTTGCTCAGACTTACATGGTTTGGGTTAGCCAAACCCACTCACATTGTGAGAACACATTGGATTCCTCTCCTGTTTTTGGTTTGTTTTTGTTTTGTTTACACAGGTGGGTACAGGAACAGACGACTGCTGACTCCTGTTAGCAGGCTGAGAGCTTTCCCTTCCCATAGCTCATGGTAAGCCTTACCCTACTAGTTTTACACAGGAGGGTACAGGAACAGACGACTGCTGACTCCTGTTAGCAGGCTGAGAGCTTTCCCTTCCCATAGCTCATGGTAAGCCTTACCCTACTAGTTTTACACAGGTGGGTACAGGAGCAGACGACTGCTGACTCCTGTTAGCAGGCTGAGAGCTTTCCCTTCCCATAGCTCATGGTAAGCCTTACCCTACTAGTTTTACACAGGAGGGTACAGGAGCAGACGACTGCTGACTCCTGTTAGCAGGCTGAGAGCTTTCCCTTCCCATAGCTCATGGTAAGCCTTACCCTACTAGTTTTACACAGGTGGGTACAGGAGCAGACGACTGCTGACTCCTGTTAGCAGGCTGAGAGCTTTCCCTTCCCATAGCTCATGGTAAGCCTTACCCTACTAGTTTTACACAGGTGGGTACAGGAGCAGACGACTGCTGACTCCTGTTAGCAGGCTGAGAGCTTTCCCTTCCCATAGCTCATGGTAAGCCTTACCCTACTAGTTTTACACAGGAGGGTACAGGAGCAGACGACTGCTGACTCCTGTTAGCAGGCTGAGAGCTTTCCCTTCCCATAGCTCATGGTAAGCCTTACCCTACTAGTTTTACACAGGTGGGTACAGGAGCAGACGACTGCTGACTCCTGTTAGCAGGCTGAGAGCTTTCCCTTCCCATAGCTCATGGTAAGCCTTACCCTACTAGTTTTACACAGGTGGGTACAGGAGCAGACGACTGCTGACTCCTGTTAGCAGGCTGAGAGCTTTCCCTTCCCATAGCTCATGGTAAGCCTTACCCTACTAGTTTTACACAGGAGGGTACAGGAGCAGACGACTGCTGACTCCTGCTAGCAGGCTGAGAGCTTTCCCTTACCATAGCTCATGGTAAGCCTTACCCTACTAGTTTTACACAGGAGGGTACAGGAGCAGACTCCTGCTGACTCCTGCTAGCAGGCTTTCCCTTCCCATAGCTCATGGTAAGCCTTACCCTACTAGTTTTACACAGGTGGGTACAGGAGCAGACGACTGCTGACTCCTGTTAGCAGGCTGAGAGCTTTCCCTTCCCATAGCTCATGGTAAGCCTTACCCTACTAGTTTTACACAGGTGGGTACAGGAGCAGACGACTGCTGACTCCTGTTAGCAGGCTGAGAGCTTTCCCTTCCCATAGCTCATGGTAAGCCTTACCCTACTAGTTTTACACAGGAGGGTACAGGATCAGACGACTGCTGACTCCTGTTAGCAGGCTGAGAGCTTTCCCTTCCCATAGCTCATGGTAAGCCTTACCCTACTAGTTTTACACAGGTGGGTACAGGAGCAGACGACTGCTGACTCCTGTTAGCAGGCTGAGAGCTTTCCCTTCCCATAGCTCATGGTAAGCTACACTCAATAGTTTCCCCTGAAACACGATCCACTAATTGGCTAACAACCATGTACCCAATTGCTGCTGGGTGAACAGAGGTGAACAATTAAGGATTTGTTGTGCTTCCAGTCATTGAACCCCAATGCAGGATTGGGAGATACTTGTTTGGACAACAGGTGACATCCAGAGCAGTACAGATGACCTTGGCATGGTGAATAGTGTAGCAATTCCGCAGTTCACATTTGAACACATTGTTTGATATGAGCCAGCTGGCTCATGTCTGTCCAGCTGACTCATGTCTGTGCAGCTGGTGACTAACCACCTGGCCTGTCCATCCTACAGCCGGCTGTCCGGCAACTTCTTCAACCACACCTTGACGCCCGCGTCCTTCACTCGATACCCTCACGTCGTCTTCCTGTGAGTACACCTGTTGTGGTTGTAGTTGTTGCTGTAGTTGTTGTGGTTATGTATCCATCCCTTGAATCCTGTATCCAACCTTTGATACTTGTACCCAGCCCCTGATCTATGTATCCAGCCCCTGGTCCTTGTATCTAACCCCTAATTCTTGTATCTGGCCCCCCCTGGTCCTTGTATCTAACCCCTAACCCTTGTATCTGGCCCCTGGTCCTTGTATCTGGCCCCTAACCCTTGTATCTGGCCCCTAACCCTTGTATCTAACCCCCTAATCCTTGTATCTGGCCCCTAACCCTTGTATCTAACCCCCTAATCCTTGTATCTGGCCCCTAACCCTTGTATCTAACCCCCTAATCCTTGTATCTGGCCCCTAACCCTTGTATCTAACCCCCTAATCCTTGTATCTGGCCCCTAATCCTTTTATCCAGTGTCTAAACCTGTATATCCACCCTCGAGCCCCAAATTCAGCTTTATTTTTCTTTATATATATTTATCCAGCATATGTATTCAGCCAGTGTATCCAGCTTATGTATTCAGCCTATGTATCTAACCTATATGTATTTAGCACATGTATATACCCTATGTATTTAGTCTATATGCCCAGCCAATGTATTCATCCTATGTATCCAACCAGTGTATTTAGCCTATGTATCCAGCTTATGTGTTCAGCCTATGTGTCCAGCCTATGTGTTCAGCCTATGTATCCAGCCTACGTGTTCAGCCTATGTATCCAGCCTATGTATTCGCAGCTTCTTTGGGCCAGGATATCCCCTGGGATATCTGAGCGTGTATGTATGCATTCCGTTCATCAGTATTTATCCAATAACCGAATTCATATATCCAGCCTAGAATCCATGTATATATTACCAGAAACAGAAGATTATAGCCCAAACGGTTTGGATTGTCTCCAAAGGCAGTGTTCTCAACTATTAGAATACTGTGTTCTAAGGCAGTGTTATCAACGATTAGAACACTGTGTTCTAAGCCAGTGTTCTCAACATTAGAACACTGTGTTCTAAGCCAGTGTTCTCAACATTAGAACACTGTGTTCTAAGCCAGTGTTCTCAACATTAGAACACTGTGTTCTAAGCCAGTGTTCTCAACATTAGAACACTGTGTTCTAAGCCAGTGTTCTCAACATTAGAACACTGTGTTCTAAGGCAGTGTTCTCAACTATTCCTTACCCACTGCTCTGAACAGAGCACGGTGAATAGGGAGTTTGAAAGGATAACTATTGGTGAATAATGCAGTTTCTCCATGTTTTTCCGTGATCTACTTAGTCTTCCTGCGTCTATCATTGCAAAATAGACTCCCTTAAGCCAGTAGACGTACCAATTACATTAAGACAACGTGCCAAGCACAACAGGTGAGTGGATATCCCGTGGGGGCTTCTTGATTACTGTTTTACTCTCTCGTAGAAATGTCGTACATGATCTGCTTAGTTGTTGTTATAAACTCCAGTGGTGTTCTTTGTTTACACATTTCCCTCGGCCTTGTATGTGTGTGTGTGTGTGTGTGTGTGTGTGTGTGTGTGTGTGTGTGTGTGTGTGTGTGTGTGTGTGTGTGTGTGTTTGAGCATGTTTGTGTACTTCTGAGAGCTAAGAAGCATACCTAACATATACCGAACCCTTCCTCGACCCCTTCCCCCTCCGCCCCCCTCCCCCGTTAGACCATGTATCCGGCGCCTACAGACACATGTATCACCGTGTACCCGCAGGGACCTGAGCAACAACAGCCTGACCAGCCTCCCCGCCGGGATGTTCCTCAGCCTGTCCCGCCTCCGTATCCTCGACCTCAGGGACAACCTTCTCTCAGCGCTCCGGAACTCCACCTTCCTGGGCCTGGCCAGCCTCAGGACGCTGTGAGTATACCTATCCACTCGCTCCTATGAGTATACCCATCCACACGCTCCTATGAGTATACCCATCCACACGCTCCTATGAGTATACCCATCCACACGCTCCTATGACAGCAATATCTCACCCATGAAGCTCCCAGTGGCTTTGCAGGGTGACCCGCTACCAACAACATGGGGACAGGTTGGCCTGATTGGCTGTCCTGAAGTGACGCTGCTCTCTTGGTCTGATTGGTCCTCCCTATACGCAGGGGTAAATCATAACACGGCCCCCTGATTGGTTGAGATGATGTTGGTTATACGTCGTCTGGACTGTGATTGGTCCAGAGATCACGACGTTTTCCGTGACTGGTCAACGGTGTTTTCTAATTGGTGCAGAGGAGGTTAGCTCTTGTCATTGGCCGGGACAGGAAGGTCGAAGTCTCCTTAGCCAAGGCTTTCAACATGGTCACCCATTCAGTTACATGCCAGACCCATCGGTACTTAACTTGGCTTACTGAGGCTATGGATTAGTTCATACTGTGTAATGGCAATTTCATTAGTTTATATTGGCTAATAGGCCTTTGATTTGTTGATGATGCAAATAAGCTTTTGATTAATTTATACTGGGGGGGGGGTTTACCAAGCAGTGCCCGGGTCTCCTCTCTCCCTCTATTCCCCCCCCCTCTCTTCAAACACCCCCCCCCCCCTTTCCAACCTCCCCCGGGGGGGGGGGGTGGACAGATGCCAAAGTATAGCATTAGAGCCAACGCCAACTAGCCTACGACACTCCCATACCCCACACGCGTCATGCGTGAAAGTTGGGTGAGGCTAGCCGCAAGCCTCTGGCCTCCAACCTTGCTCTGACAAACGACCAGAACATTCTCAAAGATATGGATTGGCTAATAGGCTTTTGATTAGTTTATGTTGCCTCGTAATGGAAAGATATTGTCAGGGGAATGAACTAAGATGTATTATTCATCTCCATGATTAATGTATTTCTGGGTCATTTGCAAGACATTGAGATGTATTTTTGGGCACAGAATTGTTTGGGTTAACCAGGTTGTTAATTGTAAATACATTTATACATTAAATGCAACACTAGTAATGCAGTTTGATACAGCATGAGTCACCTAGATACAGAAATGAGAAATACATCTGATGTTGGCGAGTGTATGGTGATAGCTACTGTATTCTGTCGTTGATTTAACATACAGTAGTGATATAGTGAGGGATGTATTTTATTGTTATTACTGTATCCATGTATTATCCTCTCCTCCCACTCATACATTATCCTCTCCCATACATACAGTACCCACCCTCCCACACATACAGTAACACCCTCCCACACATACAGTAACCACCCTCCCACACACATACAGTACCACCCTCCCACACACATACAGTACCACCCTCCCACACATACAGTACCACCCTCCCACACATACAGTACCACCCTCCCATACATACAGTACCACCCTCCCACACATACAGTACCACCCTCCCACACATACAGTACCACCCTCCCACACATACAGTACCACCCTCCCACACATACAGTACCCCCCCACACATACAGTACCACCCACACATACAGTACCACCCTCCCACACATACAGTAACCACCCCCCACACATACAGTACCACCCTCCCACACATACAGTACCACCCTCCCACACATACAGTACCACCCTCCCACACATACAGTACCCCCCCACACATACAGTACCACCCACACATACAGTACCACCCTCCCACACATACAGTAACCACCCCCCACACATACAGTACCACCCTCCCACACATACAGTACCACCCTCCCACACATACAGTACCACCCTCCCACATATACAGTACCACCCTCTCACACATACAGTACCACCCTCCCACATATACAGTACCACCCTCCCACATATACAGTACCACCCTCCCACACATACAGTACCACCCTCCCACACATACAGTACCACCCTCCCACATATACAGTACCACCCTCCCACATATACAGTACCACCCTTCCACACATACAGTACCACCCTCCCACATATACAGTACCACCCTCCCACACATACAGTACCCCCCCCTCACACATACAGTAACCACCCTCCCACACATACAGTACCACCCTCCCACACATACAGTACCACCCTCCCACACATACAGTACCACCCTCCCACACATACAGTACCCACCCTCCCACACATACAGTACCACCCTCCCACACACATACAGTACCCCCCCCCCACACATACAGTAACCACCCTCCCACACATACAGTACCACCCTCCCACACATACAGTACCACCCTCCCACACATACAGTACCACCCTCCCACACATACAGTACCACCCTCCCACACATACAGTACCCCCCCCCCACACATACAGTAACACCCTCTCACACATACAGTACCACCCTCCCACACATACAGTACCCCCCCCCACATATACAGTACCACCCCCCACACATACAGTACCCACCCTCCCACACATACAGTACCCACCCTCCCACACATACAGTAACCACCCTCCCACACATACAGTACCACCCTTCCACACATACAGTACCCCCCCGACATGTACAGTACCACCCTCCCACACATACAGTACCCCCCCACATATACAGTACCACCCTCCCACACATACAGTACCACCCTCCCACATATACAGTACCCACCCTCCCACACATACAGTACCCCCCCCCACATACAGTACCACCCTCCCACACATACAGTAACCACCCTCCCACACATACAGTACCCCCCACACATACAGTACCCACCCTCCCACACATACAGTAACCACCCTCCCACACATACAGTACCACCCTCCCACACATACAGTACCACCCTCCCACATATACAGTACCCACCCTCCCACACATACAGTACCCCCCCCCACATACAGTACCACCCTCCCACACATACAGTAACCACCCTCCCACACACATACAGTACCACCCTTCCACACATACAGTACCCCCCCCACACATACAGTACCACCCTCCCACACATACAGTAACCACCCTCCCACACACATACAGTACCACCCTCCCACACATACAGTAACCACCCTCCCACACATACAGTACCACCCTCCCACACACATACAGTACCACCCTTCCACACATACAGTACCCCCCCCCACACATACAGTACCACCCTCCCACACACATACAGTACCACCCTTCCACACATACAGTACCCCCCCACACATACAGTACCCACCCTCCCACACATACAGTACCCCCCCCCCCCCCCACACATACAGTACCACCCTCCCACACATACAGTACCCCCCCCACACATACAGTAACCACATATTCTCCTCCTTACTCCCCACAGTCACCTAACGGGCAACAAGCTGGTCGCTATAGAAGGGTGGTCGCTCTATGGTCTCTCCTCCCTCTCAGCACTGTAAGTATCACACTAACTACCGCTGCTCCTCTAACTATCGCTGCTCCTCTAACTACCGCTGCTCCTCTAACTACCTCTCCATCAATGATAACAATTGCAAGATTGTAACTACCCCAATAATCACACACAAATCACAATCCCGTGAACTACCGCTGCTCCTCTAACTACCTCTCCATCAATGATAACAATTGCAAGGTTGTAACTACCCCAATAATCACACACAAATCACAATCCCGTGATATGTCATATGAGCAAAGCCATAAGGGCCGTGATGTGGGATCGAACCTTTGCGCTGGATAGACTAGAGCGGGTCTGGATCCAGCGGGCAGGTTCGAATCCTGTTCAAAGCCCTCGTGGATTTATAAAAATAATAATAATAATAATTCTCAGATAAATCACTTTATGGTGATACACAAGCCATCATCCTGTTTAGATAGTAGTTTTTGTAACTATGCTCATAATAGTACAAATATTGACATACTAAGCAATTAGATAGTAGAATTTGGTACTATTCACGTTATAGAGTCAGGATAAAATTAAGCTGAAAAACAAGCTTAACTTTTTCTATGCTTAGTATAGCACACATATGTACTATTGTAGGCCTCTTGTGTATTAGGCCTAGGAAGGTTAGGTTAGGTTAGTTTGTCTTTGCAACATAAGTAGAAAATCGTTTCCCGGTTTGTCCAACTTCAATAGTACCGATTTCAACTTTCTTGTCGTGTCGTATGTCGGTATATGTACTATGGTGCTCGTCGTTACCATAAGTACTGCCACAACAGGCGACTGGGCTGTGATACATCAGTGAGACATTCCACAATAACCGTGATAAGGATTCGAACCTAAATGCCCTGGGTATTCCCAGATGCACACCCTGAACCACTACGCCACGACATAGTCAAAAGAATAGCAACCTGGAGGAACTACTTTAACCCTCGAGGCTCCCGAGGGGTTAGTTACAATTCCTCTGTCCGTGTCTTGGCGTCGTGGTTTAGAGCGTCCATCTGGGAATACCTTGACTCATAGGTTCGAATCCTCGTCACGGCTGCTGTGGATTTGATCAAAATAGTAATAATTTAATAATCATATTTTATTGGCAAATGTTTCATAGTGTTTTTATAGCAATTTTTGGATTTTATTTATATGTTCTTTGAACCTGATAAGCCTTAATACACAGCAAGGTCACTTTAAATGATAATTGTTGGGAGAAATAAAATATTTTTGTGCTCTACAAAAGTGCAATTATATTAATAAGTGTGATTATCACTCAATTATTATAATTATTTGTGTAGTGAGACGTAGATAAGAGATTATTGAAGATAGTGTTTGGCCTGTGAAGTCTTCATCTAATCCAGCCACAGATGATTAGATCACTTCATCAGCTCATATCAGCTGATTATCATATCATCAACATCATATCAGCTGATTATCATATCAGCTGTTCAGCAAGTGACCACTTAATCAAATTACTCTTAGTTTGGACTCAAATAACATAAAATTGTAATCATACATAACACAGTGAACAGTTTAACATTTCATGTATGAGAAATGTTGTTGGAAAATTTTCATATTTCACGAAAACTCGGCTTGTTAGGCAACTGTGGCTCTTAGGTACAACATAACTATGTGGTCGTGAGAATCACCAGTGTGTGGTCTAGTGAAGGACTCTCAGCCCGAACACCATGTTCAATAGAGTGCTTCTAGTGTTGTGAACAGTATAATCTCTGTTCATTCCTTGTTATTTTTTTAACAGTTTAAGCTCTGTTCATCCCCCTGTTGTTATTTTATGAACAATTTAAGCTTTGTTCATCTCCTGTTGTTATTTTGTGAACAATTTAAGCTTTGTTCATCCCCTGTTGTTATTTTATGAACAATTTAAGCTTTGTTCATGCCCTGTTGTTATTTTATGAACAATTTAAGCTTTGTTCATCCCCTGTTGTTATTTTATGAACAATTTAAGCTTTGTTCATCCCCTGTTATTTTATGAACAATTTAAGCTTTGTTCATCCCCTGTTGTTATTATAATTATTGAATATATGGTCTATAACATCATCATTAATGAACATGCATTTTCTCTCCCTCATGTTCTGGCCGAACATGAGCCCAACATGCTGGGAATATGTTGTAATGATTAGCATGTTAACGAGGGAAATGAAAGTGACCACATATCGTATTTTTCCTGCATTGTTAACTGATGCAATGTTAACTGACACAATGTTAACTGATGCAATGTTAACTGACGCAACGTTCACTGGTGCAATGTTAACTGATGCAATGTTAACTGGTGCAATGTTAACTGATGCAATGTTAACTGACGCAATGTTAACTGACGCAATGTTAACTGACGCAATGTTAACTGGCGCAATGTTAACTGACGCAATGTTAACTGATGCAATACTAACTGACGCAATGTTAACTGACGCAATGTTAACTGGTACAATGTTAACTGGTGCAATGTTAACTGGTGCAATGTTAACTGACACAATGTTAACTGACGCAATGTTAACTGGTGCAATGTTAATTGACGCAATGTTAACTGACGCAATGTTAACTGACGCAATGTTAACTGGTGCAATGTTAACTGGTGCAATGTTAACTGACACAATGTTAACTGGTGCAATGTTAACTGATGCAATGTTAACTGACACAATGTTAACTGGTGCAATGTTAACTGACACAATGTTAACTGATGCAATGTTAACTGGTGCAATGTTAACTGACACAATGTTAACTGAGACAATGTTAACTGATGCAATGTTAACTGGTGCAATGTTAACTGACACAATGTTAACTGACGCAATGTTAACTGGTGCAATGTTAATTGATGCAATGTTAACTGACGCAATGTTAATTGATGCAATGTTAACTGGTGCAATGTTAACTGACACAATGTTAACTGAGACAATGTTAACTGGTGCAATGTTAACTGACACAATGTTAACTGACACAATGTTAACTGACACAATGTTAACTGACGCAATGTTAACTGATGCAATGTTAACTGATGCAATGTTAACTGATGCAATGTTAACTGGTGCAATGTTAACTGGTGCAATGTTAACTGGTGCAATGTTAATTGATGCAATGTTAATTGATGCAATGTTAACTGACGCAATGTTAACTGACACAATGTTAACTGGTGCAATGTTAACTGGTGCAATGTTAACTGGTGCAATGTTAACTGACGCAATGTTAACTGACGCAATGTTAACTGACACAATGTTAACTGGTGCAATGTTAACTGACGCAATTTTAACTGGTGCCATGTTAACTGGTGCAATGTTAACTGACGCAATGTTAACTGGTGCAATTTTAACTGGTGCAATGTTAACTGGTGCAATATGTCAACAGATGCAATGTCAGTTTTTGGTCTCATGGGAATTCATACGTCACCTGCGAGAAAGTACTCGCGAGGCCGGGCTGGTCAACATTCCCGTCGTCATAAAGAATGGCCAATTGCTCGTTAATTCACCTGCCAACAACTCGCCCCCCCCCCTCCTCCCCCTCTCCCTCCACGCCCAGTTTAATAACGAAAAACTGTATTCATGATTCACAATTGTGTTCGGTACAACTATTCGCGAACAGTGCTTCGCGCTCTTCCTGTTTACGAGTCGCACCTGAATGTAAACAATCCGTTCTTATTATCCCAGTCTTTTCTCCAGTCCGTCCTCCAGTCTGTCCTCTAGTCCGTCCTCTAGTTCGTTCTCCAGCCCGTCCTCCAGTCCGTTCTCCAGCCCGTCCTCCAGCCCGTCCTCCAGTCCGTCCTCTAGCCCGTCCTCTAGCCCGTCCTCCAGTCCGTCCTCTAGCCCGTCCTCCAGTCCGTCCTCTAGCCCGTCCTCCAGGCCGTCCTCAGGCCCGTCCTCCAGCCCGTCCTCCAGCCCGTCCTCCAGCCCATCCACCAGCCCGTCATCTAGTCCGTCCTCTAGCCCGTCCTCCAGTCCGTCCTCTAGCACGTCCACCAGTCCGTCCACCAGCCCGTCCTCTAGCCCGACCTCCAGCCCGTCCTTCAGTCCGTCCTCTAGCCCGACCTCCAGCCCGTCCTCCAGTCCGTCCACCAGGCCGTCCTCCAAACAAAGACCCAAAAGTGATTCCATCCACCCGCCAAACCCCCAGCTGTTTATGAATGAAAAACGGTTTACACACGACTCACAACTGATTTCGTTCGAACACTTCCGGAACAAGTGCTTCACTGACGAGTTTTGTTCGAATCACGTCGCTATAAATGCTTCACCCACGTACTACAAATGCAAATAATCGCCAACCGAACCTAAACACCTAACCTAACCTAACCTATGTCTATATATGCACAATATGCTAATATATATTATAATACTAATTTATATTTGAAAAAAACCTGTTTTGAATGAACAGCATGTAAAAATTTATGAATGCGTCTGTGGGGTCGACCGCTGGATGGAATGGACTTGAGTCGAGGACGGGTTGCAGCCAAATAATCGCTAACAGAACCTAAACACATAACCTAACCAATGCCTAAATATGTACAAAATGTGTAACAATATTTATTTTGAGAAAATTCCTATTTTGATTCAGCCGCATGTTAAAATGGATGAATGGTGCTGTGAGGTCATCTGTAACTTGGATGTCGTTACCATGTCTAGGTAATTGGTTGTTGAGAGGGTTGTTGTTGTGTTGTTACAGAGATCTGAGCAGCCAGGGCCTCGCCAACCTCACTACCCACTCATTCCTGGGCCTCAGGACTCTCCTTAACCTGTGAGTTAACTGTCTGTGTTGCTCTTACTCACACACACACACACACACACACACACACACACACACACACACACACACACACACACACACACACACACACACACACACACACACTTTCTCTCTTTCTCTCTTTTTTCTCTCTCTCTCTCTCTCTCTCTCTCTCTCTCTCTCTCTCTCTCTCTCTCTCTCTCTGTATGTATGTATACATAATATATATAATATTCTGCCTTCCGTGAAAACCTTCAGAAGCTTTGCAGTAATTTTCAGCACACAACACTAGTTGACCCTTGTAATTTCCTGTCAGGTCATCCAGGTATTAATTTAAACACGCAATATTGAAGGGGATGAGTCACAATAACGTGGCTAAAG